AAAAACAACTATTGACTCTTGCGGAGAAGAGAGAAGTTTTGACGTAGCTTTTACAGCCTGGGTCATAATAAGAAATCAGATTATGGATGTACAGTCTTGGCCAACGAACTAGCTCATTGGGTCATTATTATCCCTTAGACCCATCTGTCTGTGCTGCATAATCAAACCGCCTCTCTCGTCTATTTTGTGTCTGCAAGGGAAACAAAGTATTTCATAATTTCAAGTGTAAAAAGGAAATATTTGTTAAAAGTTGTTCTTTCCTATGAGGAGTATATAACAGGCCTGACATGTTTGGACAAAAAAAGAACCCAGTCCACTTAGCTTTGTTTTTCTCTTTTACTGCAATAGTACAATTAGGATTGAAGATGGAAGACGCATACAAGTTTGTTCTTTGTTGGCTATGGTTCAGCTTCTTTTCGAGTCTCCTAATCTGGTTTCCAGGACAATACCGTGGAATCAGGGCAATTTCACACTACCTGTGAAAAACGGGAACTTCCTCTATGTAAACCAATAATCCCGGATTAGGTGTCCATCTTTCCAAACTAGCATTTAGTGTTTCTCCAAGGAAATGTAGAATAAAATCATGTGTGCCTGACATAAACATTTTGAAACATCTGAATAAGGCTTCCTCACACATGTCCACCACTGAATAATTTGCATTGTCCCAAGTATACAAGAGAGAAATAAGTTGCACCTATTGAGTATTGCGTTTTCATATTTGTTTACAATCCAAATTTATCTTTCAGCCATTGCTGCCTTCTTGTTACCTTCACAGAAGCAGAAGAGCTATCTGGGTGACAAACTTTTGCACATCGTATTGTATTAGCCACATTGTATTAGCATTGTGACTTATGAAGTGAAAGTGTAATTATAGATAAAATACAATGATGTATTATATTATTCATTGGGTAATCAGTATGTTGTAGGTATTGAGCCTGGCGTCCTTGCACTAGGACATTGTAAACCTTCTGAAATGTGAAATTGCTTTCAGATGTCGCAAAGAACACAGATCTATCTGATGAATTAATTTATTATAACGGTACATTTGGATTCTTATGTTTTGACTTTTTATAAAAGTCAAAAGTAGCAATCTGGAGGGGGGGTGGGTAATTCTATAAAATAACGAATTCCGTTCTGCCCCGGTACAACGATTACAACACAGTGACCATATATCATTTCTTATGAACTACAAAAGAAACCGCCAACAGTACGAATGTTCCCTCCTCAAAGCCCTGTTACTGCTTATCTGAGCGTCATCCACCACCCCCCGTTTTAGAGGATGACTTTCCGCCTTTTCATAACCCAAAAGAGTGCCAAAGTTGCAGCGTGTCGTATCAGGCACATGGCCAGTAGTATTTATTAACCTCTCTCTCTGCTCTCTGCTTTAAAATAATGTCAACACAAACGAGGCACGATTGATTGTCCCAGTGACAAAGGCATTTTTTTCCCACCCGACTGTCTTCCCACTCTCTCCCTCTTCTGCTGCTTAGCTGCGAAGGTCCTAACGCTTGCCGCTTGCAGGCTGTATACATACGTATCCCCTCATAGAAGGACAACAGTAACTCGCCTCCACCAGAACATCACATGTTTTTGAAAGGTAGCAGGACACTGTCAAAGAGGCGACCAGAGGAAAGAATGAGGTGGGTCGTGCGTAATCCTTTATAAAGAGTAAGAATGGATCCAATCTTTCATCAAGCCCTGTGAAATGACTGTTATCCGATGTCCTTAATTTCGTGCTTCTAATGACTAAACTTAGAGTTCCAAAAGAAATATTAATTAACAACAAAGTAAGAGCCTTGAGAGTGGCATGCGTATTAAGGGCAAACAGAGCGATAGAACTTTTCGCCCAGTTAATATTTGATTAAGTCATACTGCCAATGTACGAGTTTACCGTATGGCTATGAAAAAGTATTTGGCCCCTCTCAAACAACATTTTCGTTCTCGATTTTCCTTTATAAATCATTGTTTTTTTTTGGATTTTGCTGGTAAATACCATCCGTTGTTGTGGGGGGAGGGGAGTGCGGAAGCGAGTTCAAAAGAGAGCGCCGTTACAATGAACAACACGCCCAATCATTTTTTTTTTTTTTTTTTATTGTTCTTTTCGGAACGTTGAACTGGAACGCGCAACACATTTTTTTAAAGAAGAACTGTGAACTTGAATTAGGTTTCATATTATGTGTTTCATGGAATCGGCAGACATCTCTATGGAACGTTTGGAATCGGTTTTCGCCTCCCCCCTCTTTTGAAAACGCAAACGAGAGTAAAGTTCTCCCTCACTGTATTCCCCCTCCCTTCGCACTTTTTCTGCCGAAATCTAACCAATTCCTACGGTTTCCACTGTCTGTGAACGCACGACCCGACTCCGGTTGAGGTGCGGGGCGCTGTGAGCCGGTTGCTTTTTCACATGTGGCCCAAGTCGTGATGAAAACACATGTGATTAGCGACAAAGTATACACCCAACGCAACACCCACCGTTTTTACATTTTGACAAAAAGTATAGACAACACACACTGCAGCGCCATTAACTGTATGTAGTTTATGAGCAGAGATATGGAGCAACTTCTCCGTTTTGCTCACATTGAAAACCAATAATAAAATCTTGTCTGTTTGTAGTCAAAAAGGGCTTCTCCTCCTGAGGTTGTACAGGGATATAAAAAAAACAAAACTCGTCATGTTGAATGGTAAGCTCACTGCCCATGACGAGTTTGACGAGTTTTTCGTGTTATTACACGGGAGGCTGCGTAATGTATGGCGCCCCTTGTGAATGACCCACATACTGATATATAGTGCAAATGTACTGTATTGATAAATCAACACCGTGGATGCAGTATTGCACCACAGGAGAGGTATAAGTCAGTGGGAGGAGGAGGAGGAGTGTGGGAGAGTTTGGGAAGCGTGCTGCTGTAGCATTGAGACGCATCAGCGATCTAGTTTTAGCGATAGTATTGCAAGAGTGATGGCGAAAAAAGAATAGTTATAGCAAGTGTCACTGCTTCAGTGATTAGACGCGCGGATCAGTGAGTGAGGTCGAGAGGGGAGAGAGCGGAGACCCCGATGGAGGTCCGTCTTCTGAGCTACATTTGCGCGGAGCAAGAGAAGGGACACACCTTCCGCCTCTCGCAGCGGGGGTGGTGTATACAGCTGCTGTTGTTACTGATGCCTCGGATTAGTTCAGCAACCCTGATCATGATTTATCGGCTGAGTGGTTGCAATGTGATCATTCACGTATTCTGATAAAAGAGCCCTCCCCATGAGTTGACAGGGGCCATGGAGGTAAAGATGATTCCTCCTCATACATTGTACATATTATTGTATATATTCTCCTGGTATAGTGACTTTACAATAATGTATATTTATTTACAGGTGGTGCATCAAGAGGCTGTGCTGTGCACAAAAAAGGTAAAAGATCTTATTTCTATTCTTGTACATCCCATGGCAATTATAATATTAATAATAATATAATATGTATACTGTGTTTGGTCAAAAGTTGTCGTCAATAATGTGGGAGGAAGCCTTCTTTGTATTTTATGATTGATTTATTTGTAACAAAATTCACTGATAATATAGTTTTTGTGTGTATTCCAATTTCCAGAACGTTCGGGACACCCAGAATCTCTAGGAAGATGCTGAAGGAGGTGAGTGGGAGCCGAGTCAGTTGCCCTTCACAGGAGCTCTGGAACTCAGAGAGCTGCGGACAGAGGCTGCGTAGGCTGGGATTAATCTGATACCAGCTGACTTTCTGGAGTGGTTTCATTGATCCAGATTTCTGGAGCTGGATTCATCTGATCCAGCACTTTCTGGAGCTGGATTCATCTGATCCAGACTTTCAGGAGCTCTTCTTCAGGAGGGAGAACCTACAAATGTCACTTGAGTCGTGTTCCGTTGCACACAGTGTTTAACCTCTACAAACTCAAAGCTGAAACTAATGGGAGGACTGAAAAAGCAGATAAATCACTATACACCACACTCACGAACACTCCACGCCACTCACTCACTCACTCACGCACACAGACACTCATCGCCACACTGGACATTCACACACACAGACACTCACTCACACAGTCACTCACTCGCACACTGACATTCACACATTCACATGCTTCATTTTATTTTATACATCTATAGTTTTATGATCTTTGTGTTGTTGTTGTTTGCGTTTTGGTTGATGGTATAGAAGATAAGTCAAATTTTCTATCTGTGAATAAATTGCCAACAATTTGCCATCATAAAAGTATTATTTCAGAGTATGTTTTTCTAATTTTTGTAATGGACAAGTGTGAAGAAGTTTTGAGTTGTCACTAAAGCATGCCAATAATGGCATCCTAAAGTCTTTTTCTGTTGATAGTTCTGGTTTACATACAGCTCCTTTCTCTGTTTCTTGCTCAGAATGTGTTATGGGTGAACGTATGCTCTCATGTTGATAACCTCAAGAACCGGTATGAGGTAGAAACAAACTGTTTTTTTCAGAGTAAAGCAGAGAGGTTAATCTTTAATTTTGGTGCCTTGGTGATACATCGTCTAAAAAATGAATATTCTGTGGGCACTTCATGGTCAAATCACCTGAAATTGTGGCAGAAGGGCACTTCTCAATCTGAAAATGCTGGCAGTCAGTGAGTTTAACTTTAATTCTAAAGTTAGATCAGCTCAGTAATCCACTGAAACCCAGTAAAAAAATGACTCACAGGGCTCATTCCTAAAAATGAAAATTTATACTCCAAGAGTGCACAAAATGGTTCACGCAGTCAGAGCATATTTACAACGAAAATTAGCAACACAAAAAAACAAGTTCACTCTGACACATGGTACATTTAGTTTCAAGTTTACCTTCTCTGTAACCAGGGCAGACTGTGCCCAAACACGGCTCCTGGCCCTCCCATTGAGCAAAATAAATTTTGGTACAAATTACATTGCATTACATCATTATCTCTAAAAAAATGTACATTTTCAAAGTACGGACATCACATGGGCATAATTCCCAATTACCCACCAGGGAAATAGTGTCAGGTTCGATCCCCCCCCCCCCCCCCCCCCCCCCCCCCCCCCCCTCCCCCCCCCCTCCCCCCCCCCCTTTTCCCCCCCCCCCCCCCCCCACCCCCCCCCCCCCCCCCCCCCCCCCCCCCCCCCCCCCCCCCCCCCATTGCGCTCGTGTGACAGACCGTAAATGTGTGTGTAAATGTGTGTGTAAATGTGTGCTTGTGCACCTTTGGCAAACTAGTAACTGGAGGGGAAAAACGGACGCAGAGATGGATTGTTGCGTGTGGAGGTTACGTATTGGAACGTGGTAATACTGATACAGTGTTCTCAAAGAATTCACTGAAATATATATAAGTTTTAATTAACCAGGAAAGTCCATTGAGATAAGAAAAAACAACTTTTTCAAGGGAGTCCTGGACAAAAAAAAAATCAAAAATCAAGGGCTCTCAATCTGACATCTAAAAGCATTCAAGAAATAAGTTCATATAATTTCCAGTCTTTTTGCAACATGTTCCATGCCAATGGCAGATACACAAGAGCTTTTTTCCCTTTTCTGTGCAGTAAAAGGAATAGTGAGCAACAAAAGATTCATTTGATGGCAAACCATCTGAACCAACATGTTTTGTGTGAGTTAAATGTCAGGTGTAGAGGGCAGCAGACAAGCGTAGCCTTTAAAAAAAAAGTGCACCCGTGTCAAAACCTTCTGGTGGACAAGAAAGGCATCCCCATCCTGATTCATTCACAGTGAGTCAAGGCTTTGCATTTATAATGAATTGACATATTAATTGAGTCATTATTGAAGTACAGTTCTTTGTTTTTTTCCCATATATATGAACGGAATAGTTCACCTTTTTTACATACTGACATAAGTTCTTTCTTTCCATTAGACTAGTTAATACGTACCTGGTCTGGTCCATTGTCCGTGCGCTCTGTCATGCAAACGGAGCAAAAACCGGAGAACAAACGCGCTCCTCTGTATACTGTTTGTAGGACAAACGGTTGCTCCCTGCTAGAGCTACCAAAACTTTTCCAAGTGTTCCTATTAATTGTATATAGTTACGTTGACGTGTTACACTGCAAAGTGTAACACGTCCCGTAACATATACATTAATAGGGAACATTGGAAGGAGTTTGGTAGGCTTTTAGCGGAGCTACCTTTTGGTCCTACACAGTTTAAGCGGAGGCCTGCGTATTGTTTCCTCCCGTTTTTGCTCCGTTTGCATGACAGAGCGCACGGACTAAGACCAGACATGTACGTATTAACTTAGTCTAAGGTTAAGTTAAGAACATATGTCAGTATGTAAAAAAACGGTGAACTATTCCTGTTATATATAGGGGGAAAAAAACAAAGAAAACTGTACTTAAATTAATGACTCAAGTAAAAAGTTCAATTCATTTTGAAATGCAAAGCCTTGACTCACTGTGAATGATATTATGGGAGTGGGATGGCCTTCTTTGTCACCAGAAGGTTTGGACAGGGGCACTTTTTTTTAAGGCTACGCTTGTCTGATTGCCCTCTTACACCTGACATTTTACTCACACAAAGACCATGTTGGTTCATATGGTTTGCCATCAAATGATCTTTTGTTGCTCGCTATTCCTTTTTATCTGCACAGGAACAGCGGAAAAAGCTTTGTGTATGCTGCTCCTTCTGCATGAACATGTTGCAAAAGACTGGAAATTATATGAACTTCTTTCATTGAATGGTTAGATGCAGTTTGAGAAGCCCTTGATTTTATGATTTTTTTTGGTCCAGGACTCCCTTTGAAAAAGTTGTTCTTTAATCTCATGGGGACTTTCCTGGTTTTAAATTCAACGTATATATCTTTCAGTTGATTCTATGAGAACCATCTGTATCAGTTTTACTCGCCCCTTCCATACGTAACCTCCACACGCAATCATCCATTCTCTCGTCCGTTTTTCCCCTCAGTTACTAGTTTGCCCAAAGGTGCACAAGACACATTTACACACACTTTTACACACACATTTACGGTCTGTCACACCGTGCGCCAAAGGAATGAAACTGCGCGCACTTCAAACAAATGCACACTTCATAGGAGGGCGTAGGGTGCAGTGTGGGTATTGGGACTGGGCCTTCCTCCCCCAGACGAATAAACAAAGCCCACCCTAGCCCCCTGTTGTTTCGGTCATCACCTCATTTGACATGCAAATGTCTTCTGTTCTCTAGATGTTACAGACAAGGCCCGCATCCTTCCACCACCTGAAGAAGATGTGCCAAGTCTGGGATCGCGTCTTAAATTCAGACAGAAGACATGTTTTATTGTCGATGGTAGAGACAGCACGAACAACAGATACAACAGAATGCAAGTGTATTATACAGAGCCTGGAGACCTCCAATCAGCAGCTTCCACACGTTGTACTTGTAGCTTTTCAGATAGAACAAAACATGAAGTGTAAAAGTACAGGCTGCTGCACATTGATAGAATGATGATTTTAACTTTAACAAAAGTTGCTTAAAAGTGTTATGAAATCTCACATTCTTCCCCCCCTCTGGTCACACATTCGAAACGTGTGACATCAGTATCGATTTCATAACTCCAATACTTAAACTCGGTACTTCAAAAAACTCAGAAAACGCATAAAACATTTTTCAAGAATGTCAGCTCTGATAAAAAATTACATGACTTTAAAATAAACAATTTATACCAATATGCCTTGTGTTCTGAAAAAATAAAACCTTTTAAAGCTTTTCCACGTCAACATTTATTTTTCAAATATGTACACTTAAATGTAACTATATATTCAATATTACATTTTGAAACATTAATATTTATCTTCCAACAGAACTCTGTACCATTTTTCCTTACCACTCCAGTTTTAACAACAAAAAAAAGTAAAAAGATGAGTAGACATTTTTTTTAAAGATTTCTAAAAACTTTCTTGAAGGACTTTGGTTTTAATCATGTTCTAGTCGTTTACGTCTCATTCAAATTCTGAAGTTGTATTTAGAGGGAGTCTGATCAAATACATATATATATATATTATATATATATATATTATTTATATATATATTTATATATAACAATTCCTTGTGATATACAATATTTTAAAAAGGAAACAACTACCAATAAAAAGGGCAATGTGAAATGAATATTTTCATCCAAATTTTGATTTTGTTTTCCTGCCTTTAAAAGTTTCAGAACCCCTGTCCTACACAATGTGTAAAATTACTAAATCATAGTGAGTGAACAGATAATTCCCAAATGAACAATCCACATCCCTAGGACAAAAAAAAAAAAATGGCTACATCTACTGCAGAGGGAATTACAAAGGTGTCTGCTGCAACACACAAACATGCAGTTGCAGTTCACAAAACTGATACATTGTGCTTCTAAGCCTCTATAACTCACCATTTTGAATTTTCAAACACTTTTTATATTTGAACAATGTTAGAACAGGGTCAAAAGTGAGGATTCCTTAATTCAAACTTTAAGACAGCTTTTTAAGGAGTGAACTGTATCTCACAGATGCTCTTGGTTTCACAGGACTGAGACCAATCAGTAATCTCTGAAAAGTTTCAAATGTGTGCTGAAGCTTGGGTGGGTATTTCAAGTCCAATGCGTATATAACGCCAACAAGAATACAGGAGGCCTTGGCTACAGTGCCCAAACCTGTAATGCATTGAAGGCCATCAATGCTGATCTCGTACGTGTCACCAACTTTGACAATCTTCACTGGATAGGCGATATTCTGCCGAGTGTCTTCAGTTTCCTCCAGACTCTATTTGAGAGGGAAAAATACATTAGACATTGATATGTTTTGATAGTCAATGCAATAGGTTGTGTTCACGTGTTCATTTAAAACTGAGGTGGAGGGCAAGTGAAAATTCCATGGCGTTAACTATGGTAACTGGCAAACTGCATATTTTTTGTCTTAGTTTTTGGTTAATGAGTAGTAGTACTCCTAGTATTGACTGAGATCATTACTAGGAGAATCCACATGAAAAAAACTGTCTCAAAGTTCATTGACTCCTCTTTCAGCACATAATGATTTCAAAAATTGTCATTGGTTTATATTATAAACCAATGACAATTTTTGAAATGATGAGCGTGATGTTGGTCAGTAGAAAGGACTTTCAGCCATACAAATAATAAAGTGGGTTAGTAAATCTAATCACTGTCAAATACTGAAGAGGAAAAACATTTGTCAATTTTTGTTTGAGAGTTCGTACAAAAACTGTATTTCTCCCATAGAGTTGTATTGACAACTGCCCATCATCACATTCTAAAACGTGAACGCAACCTATTCAGAGAAACTGACGGCTGATGAGCTGTGCAGACATTTTCAAGTCGATTATATCTGTTTAATTTTGAGATTTGTCACTAAATTACATAATTTGTGTCTAAATGCATCAGTAACAGCTTAAATATATTTGATACAACACATAAATTCAGCCATTATGTATGTTATAATGTTGCAGGAATTATTTGACGGTACAAATATATATTGTTTGTTCAATTAATGTTTAGAAAAAGTGAGCACACTGTGTGGAATTTCTCACATTTCTGCCTAAATTAGTTTGACAGTAACATTAGACAATATTTGAAGAAAGAAAAGAACTTCCACAAGGAGACGGCGACATGAGGTGCCAAACACATACGCACATACTTTCCCTTTTGACGAGCTGCCATTTAGTGAGTACTAAAGAGCAAAATAAGACAGGACAATGACCCCTGCCTCTGATTGTAGTTTCACGTGCGTTTCAGATAGCACAGTTTTGTGTTAAATATCCTGTGGTATCACTTACGGAGCGCGCATGTGAAGTCATGCGGTAGTTGCAAATGTAAATAATGGTACATGGCAAATCATCTCCTTTACCTACTATTAGAAGTACCAGACGCTGATATTTTATTGTCACAAACTCATGTTTTTGTCTTAAAGCATAGCGATAGCGGGTTAGCTCAAGCTTCATCATTGTTTTGTTTAGTTACACTGCAGTCTGGAAAGAGGAGAGCCGACATGCGCAGAGGGATACAGCCGAGCATTTCATCCAGAGCGGTTTTGTAGCCACGAATTACATTTAAAACTCGGTTTAGAGCGGCGCTATACTGTGGAGTTTTCACCAGATTATCTACTGTAAGAAAGTCTGAAATCTACGTTTGATCGGCCCCTCTGATCGGCGCATTTCACCAATCACCGATCACAAAAATTAGGCCGTGATCGACCAATCATGATTGGTGACAGATCAGATCGGTGCACCTTTAATTCATACCATACAGGTCCAGCTGCTTTAGCCAGCTCATGTTCATTCATGTCCAACTGAAGTTTTCCAGTGACCATTCCATCCAGAGGGCTGGGGGAATGTCATATGGTCAGATGTTTGTGAAGGCTCTCATTCATCCAGGGAGTGTCCATCTTATAAAAAGGTTAAATCATCGCCAGGACTGGGTTTTGGTAAAGTTGAGTGATATTGAAAACAATTTGAATAGACATTTTTGGCAGTTTTGGTTCTCCTCCTTCTGGAAGGAACCTGGGTCTTTTTAGTTTTTAGTCCAGTTTGGGTAAGTGTTTCTTTTATGACTTTAAGAGCTCTGAAGAAGCTTGTGTCACTAAAAGCGAAACATCCTCAACTTTACCAAAACCCAGTCCAGTAGATGATTTAACCTTTTCTACATGATTGTAGATTATTCTATGGTCAAATGAGACCAAAATGTTTTTTAAATAATCTGCATATGCTGACTTTTAGCATATGCAGAGGATGAAGAGGATTTGGTGATACTACTACTCTTAATGATAGACATATCAGCATAAGGTACGGTACTTTTTTTATACCCTGAAAAAGAAAAGATTGGAAATTTTACCTGTAGATCTGAAATCAAGTCTCCTGGCTTCTCCCCCATGTATTCAATTAGGCCTCGGATTACGACTTCCCTCCTCTTTTCTATAGCAGCGGTTGGATCCTACGAAACAACATAGAAATAAAAAACACCACGAATTAGGAAGTATTCAGCACTTCTTATCTTGAATATGTTTTCATATTTCTGATTGTGTTCATTTAGATATAAAAACGTATATAATGACAAATGATGGAAAATCTCCTCTCTTGTTGCCAAGGACTCACCGCAAATCTTGCGGTGAGTGTAATGTATAATGTATAATGCCCCCCCCCCAAAAAACTATTGCATCCCTAGCGAGTACATTACATTCACTTAATTTATTAACAGTTCTTTTTGTATCACACTTACCTCCTGCTGTAGCTTTCCTCCATCAATTGGCAGCAGTGAAAGGAAAAATCTAAAATAAAATAAAATAAAATTAATAAACATGCTTAAAAATACTCTTCATTGGACAAATATCATAAGCATTTAAAACAGGCGGTGCTGCTTTTTACATATAAAAAATGCATTAGATTAGTACAAACAAAGTGCTTTGTGCATTTTGCGTTACTACACGTGATTCCACAAAAAACATGCTATACCACAACATGTACCTGTCTTTAGCTGAATGTATTACCTTGTCAGGACTTGACATTAAGTGCTTTGAGGTACTTGAAGTGGCAGGTATTTTTTACTTGCCCGGAAACAAAACCTACTTGTCCAGCAAAATATCGTTTATTTCAAAATTAACATGCCAAAATGTTGTTCATATGAAATGCGAATGTAAGTCACATTAGATTTTTAACATTTCCACTCTAATTTTGTGACTGCAATAGGCTATAGCAGTCACCCTCAGTATGTTCTTTTAAAAATGCATGTTTATAATGTATCACTTATACTTTGTTTGGGTTTTTTAAATGTGCTGCAGATTTCTGAATGTATTTGAACTTATCATAACTAACCATATAGCTGCACATTGGCTAAAACAGACAGGCCTTGATATAATACAGTGATGCTGATGCGGACGGGTCATAACATTAACAACATGCAGTAGCTGTTAACTTAACGTTAGTTTTCTGCTGAAACAAGCTACTTTCTGACCGCGAGGAAATCAGAGCGATCTCAGATAGCAATAAACATGTTTTCTGCCTCCGCACCATGCTCTGCACCTGTCTCCTCCTTGAGAGTCGCTCCGCTGAGCTAATGTAACTAGGGACTTCTGCGGGGAAATGAACTGTCCCCAAGAGTAGAAAATAATAGAAGATTAATAAATGTCACGTGGCTTCTGTTGCAAACTGTATTTTCCACTTGCACCTCCGGCAACAAGACAGAGCAGGACAGTAGCGACTTTGGTCTACTTATGTTAGCTGCGTACCGTTAGCAACAGCTAGCTAGAAGCTAGCAGCTCCAAACTGCGAAAACTACGCCTGTTATTATGGTTCAGAACATTTAAGGGGTAGTTGGTAATGTTACGAGTCTTAACACAAATCACTTTGCTAAACAACGAAATTGTAGGACCATTATACTGGCACAGTTTTATGCTAACAACATGTTTGGGGCTAGAGTAGACAGTTAGCTAACATGAAGTAATTTTGGACACGAACTGCCAAGAAAATAAAACGACGATTTGACCACAGATTGTATATATTTGATCAAATACGCGACAAACCTTACAGAGAAAGCACCATATATTTAAAAAATCTTACTTTGAGTTGGATCTCACGGGAAACCACACGACCGTGTCCAAGGCTGGCTCAGCGCCCATCACCAACAACAAGCTCGCGGAAACGGTCCGAACCGGAAGCAAACTCCCGCCCAGTAGAAATTACTTTGTCTGAACACTTATTGATAGCGTCAGATTTAAGAAGCACTGCACTGCCAACAATATTTTTTCAAAATTTAGTTAAATACACACACAAAACGTATTTGTGGGTATATTGTTTTTGTTTTAGTAAATGGAAATTATTTTTCTAATATTAAAACCATAAGAATAAATTTTAAGTCCGAAATTGCAAATACAAGTACTTAGGTTCAAAGTTGCGCTTGCAACACTTTTCTCAGTGTGCAGTAGTTTTAATGTCTGCGGGTTATTCCAGAGACTGGCCAATGTAACCCTGCTCACAAGTGCCACCTGGTGGTTGTTTTGGTCATTGCAACGTCACTGGGAAGGGGGAAAATAAAAGACGCGTGAATCACACGAGACTCACGTGTGATTCACGCGTGAAAGGCGACAAAACGGAATGGGACCTACTGTATTTATGTCAATAAGAATAAATCAAAGAATAACAAAATTACAATGATAAACACTATACATGACAATAAATCAAGTGAATACTTATACTTATAGTATAAGTGCAACAGAATACTGCTGTGTGTCTTTGTGTGTTTGGGCGTGCATGTATGTGCGTTTATGCACGCGTTTGTGTGTTTTTATGTGGTTACATCTACAGAGCGTCTGTTTAGTCCGGCGTGCGCTGTGACCATATCTGGACTTTGCTGCTGGCTCCTGGTGTGGACTCAGTGATAATTTTAGCAATAGTCCACTTTTCTGTGGCTTTTTTGAGGTGCTCCACTGGTCTGCTGCTCTGACCCTCCACATGGTCTCTGTCAGCTCTGGAGACACATTTACTGCTCAAACTGCCTCCAAATGTAGCCTGACCCTGACTATATTACTCCATGTCTGCTTCACCTCTGTCTCTCCTGCTCAGAGTGCTCAGAGTGATCTTTGACCAAACCAGGGAGTTCTGCTGCCACCTGCTGGCTTAATAAAATACTATCTACAGCCAAACCCCAGACTGTATGATACAGGGGACACAGACTGACAGGAAAAGATTGAAAAACAATGTTGTCCTCAAATGACATCCATGGCTGTCAATGAGTTAATCTCAATGGGACTTTCCTGGTAAAATTAATTTTTTTTTTTTTTTTTTTTTTTTTTTTTCACTTTTTTTTTACCCGTACCCCTAGAGGGCGCCCGCGTACCACTAGGGGTACGCGTACCCCAGTTTGAGAAACCCTGATTTAAACCAAATACTGTAAACGCCCTTCCCTATAGTCTTCTATTACCACTTGCTATTGTTGTCTCCAAAACCCATTGCGAATCTCTGGTATAGATCTCAACACAATTCTAAAGCCTATACCTCTCTGAACAGCTGGTGGTATGTTGCACCCTGCCCCGGCTGCTTCGTCTTTCATGGCCCACTGCACTGGTTCACATGCACAGGAGTATTTCATTCACCCTGAGCCTGTACTGTCGTAACACCAGCTCCCACTATATCGCAGAAATGCAACGTTATTGGCTTTTTCCATTCCATTGTATGATTTTGAACATGGCCTGTTTCATGAAGGGGGGCGACAGTGGCTCAGTTGGTAGAGCATTGGCCTTTGGGCCTGAAGGTCGTGGGTTCGAGCCCACCACAAGACCTACTTCATGAATCCCACTGATGACTGCTGGCATTTTGTCCTTGGGCAAGACACTTAACCCCACTTTGCCTGAAGCCCCCACTGAAAGATAAAGGCTCCTGTGGACTCACCATCTGCAGGAGGATCAGTGATGTGCCCTGTGTACTGGGTGCAGCTCTGACTGCAACCCCCCCGACCCAGAAATGGATTAAGGGGAAGAAAATGGTTGGATGGATGTCTCGTGAAGGTCTCAATGCTTTAGGGAGTGAATTAAGAAATACATGAGTAATTCTGTGTAATAATTGATCAGTATTTTGGGAGATTTTGTCACATTTTGTCTTTTGTGTTTCCTCCATAATCTCCTGTCTTTTGTCCATAACACATGTGTCAAAAACAAGGCCCGTGGGACAAGTCATTTAATCTATTTTATTGTATTTAATTTATTCTAATATTTGACACCAACCAAGTAATGAGATATCATTTAATACACAAATAAAACATTGGTGAATCAGCCCACATTTAAAAATTACATATATGTATAAGTTCAGTAAATAAATTGTCAAAAAACCCTTCTATTAAGAAATGTATGTATCTTGTATTGTTTTGACTTATTGAATTTGGCCCCTGACCAAAATGAGTTTGAGTGTTATTTCAACCCTCTGCTTTAGCCAATAGTGTTATTTAGATCCTCTCTTTCATCAATAGTGTCATTTTAATCCTCTGCGTATATTCCAGCCCCGTTAACCACTGCACCTGAGCGGCTAATGGGGATCTTCAAAAACTGAACTAAACAACTGCTTTTCAAATCTTCTCAGTGACCCCCATGACCATTTCTCTGTGTTGCTGCGTTTCCATTTTCAGTAAAATTACAAAGGATTGCTGTTGACTGCTAACCAGCAACATGAACAGACTCTGGGATCTACTGTGCATTTTTTTATGTTTAATTGTTTCAAATATTGACCTAAATGCCTTTAAATAAACACTCAACTAAAGTGTGCGGGTCGTGTCCCCTCAAAAGCACTCTTTTTAACATGTCAAATGCAGAATTACTACATTTCGAGTAGTAATTCGAAATGTAGTAATTCAAGTCTGTAGTAGTCAGTAGGGAGAATAGTCGCTTTCAAAATGTGTACAGGCAATGCTCATGTTAAAGTGGACAATGTTAGCCACATTAGCAGAGCACTCCCCAATCCTCAGAGAACAAAACACGAGAATTAAGATGAAAAATGCAACAGTTGCTTTGACAAAATACGTATCTGCTACATAGTAAAGGCCATGGGCTCGCATATTCTCTCTAATTATAATATTGTTCTTTAACTATATTTCTGAAATCTTCCACTATGACAAATAACGTTTGAACTGACAATAGAAAAACTAAAATCATGGTCATGTGAACTTAAGGCTCTGGAGTTGGTCAAATTAATTTGAAATTAATTAAAGACAACTGTTTACAAATCCTGAATGGGTTTGAGAGGCTTAATCTAACAGGTACACATACATCAAACTGTTTGTTCTGTTTGATTCCAGTGATTGGAACGGAAAATCAGACACTTTTCCTAATGACCACATAAGAAGCCTCTCATTTCTCTAAAATATTGGTTCTGGACGAATTGCAGTGTGTCAATAAACTATCCAAACACTTGTAACAGCGGTAAAATTTCCGGCAAAGCTCTCACAGCTCTGGTGTCTGATGTCTCGAGTGATTGAGTGGCTGTCTGTCGCATTACACATTCTCCCATTGAAAATGCATTTTGAAGTGGAACCAACATTTAGATCATGGAGGTGTCAACCATAAATGAGTTGTTACTTGTGATGCTAATAAAGAGGGACATTTATTTTTCCTCACAAAAATGAAAACTTAACTGTGTCTATAATCGATTAGTTGGCCAATAATTCTTTTTGATTCAATGATAAGTTGTTGAGATCTTGAAAGGTATTTTTTTAAATACTTGACCAAAACATAGCTCAAGTGAAGCCCCTGGAGAACATCTTCTTAGAGATGACTTGTTACTCGAGGTGAAGGGAAAAATTAATTTCCGATTGTTTTTTTTGTTCCATGAGTATCGATACATAACTCCCATTCAAACCCCTGTGTTTAACCCTCCCCGCACTTCACAGACACCGCACTACACAGACACCGCACTACACAGACACCGCACTACACAGACACCGCACTACACAGACACCGCACTACACAGACACGCACTACACAGACATGCACTACACAGACACGCACTACACAGACATGCACTACACAGATACCGCACAACACAGACACCGCACTACACCGCACTACACAGACACCGCACTACACAGACACCGCACTACACAGACACCGCACTACACAGACATGCACTACACAGACATGCACTACACAGATACCGCACAACACAGACACCGCACTACACAGACACCGCAGTACACCGCACTACACAGACACGCACTACACAGACACGCACTACACAGATACCGCACAACACAGACACCGCACTACACAGACACCGCACTACACAGACACCGCACTACACAGACACCGCACTACACAGACATGCACTACACAGACATGCACTACACAGACACCGCACTACACAGACACCGCAGTACACCGCACTACACAGACACCGCACTACACAGACACCGCACTACACAGACACCGCACTACACAGACACCACACCGCACTACACAGACACCGCACTACACAGACACCGCACTACACCGCACTACACAGATACCGCACAACACAGACACCGCACTACACACTACACAGACACCGCACTACACAGACACGCACTACACAGACATGCACTACACAGATACCGCACTACACAGATACCGCACAACACACACGACACCACGCACTACACAGACACCGCACTACACAGACACCGCACTACACAGACACCAGCACTACACAGACATGCACTTCACAGATACGCACTTCACAGACACCGCACTACACAAACACCGCACTACACAGACACCGCACTACAGACACCGCACTACACAGACACCGCACAACACAGACACCGCACAACACAGACACCGCACTACACAAACACCGCACTACACAGACATGCACTACACAGACATGCACTTCACAGATACGCACTTCACAGACACCGCACTACACAAACACCGCACTACACAGACACCGCACTACAGACACCGCACTACACAGACACCGCACAACACAGACACCGCACAACACAGACACCGCACTACACTGCACTACACACACACCGCTCTACACAGACACCGCACTACACAGACACCGCACTACACAGACATGCACTACACAGACACGCACTACACAGACACGCACTACACAGACACGCACTACACAGACATGCACTACACAGATACCGCACAACACAGACACCGCACTACACAGACACGCACTACACAGACACGCACACACAGACACGCACTACACAGACACGCACTACACAGACACGCACTACACAGACACGCACTACACAGAAACGGCACTACACAGACACGCACTACACAGACACGCACTACACAGACACGCAGTACACAGACACGCACTACACAGACACGCACTACACAGACACCGCACTACACAGACACCGCACTACAAAGACACCGCACTACACAGACACCGCACTACACAGACACGCACTACACAGACACCACACCGCACTACACAGACACCGCACTACACAGACACCGCACTACACAGACACGCACTACACAGACACGCACTACACAGGCATGCACTACACAGACACGGCACTACACAGACACGCACTACACAGACACCACACCGCACTACACAGACACGCACTACACAGACACGGCACTACACAGACACGGCACTACACAGACACCGCACTACACAGACACCGCACAACACAGACATGCACTACACAGACATGCACTACACAGACACCGCACTACACTGCACTACACACACACCGCACTACACAGACACGCACTACACAGACACCACACCGCACTACACAGACACCGCACTACACAGACACCGCACTACACAGACACCGCACTACACAGACACCGCACTACACAGACACGCACTACACAGGCATGCACTACACAGACACGGCACTACACAGACACCGCACTACACAGACACCGCACTACACAGACATGCACTACACAGACATGCACTACACAGACATGCACTACACAGACACCGCACTACACTGCACTACACACACACCGCACTACACACACACCGCACTACACACACACCGCACTACACACACACCGCACTACACAGACACCACACTACACAGACACCAGTATCTCCCTCCTCCTGATAACAGTTAAGAGCTATGAGTCAAGGAATAACTAATATTTACAGTCGATGAGTAAGAGAAAGGAGATTGAAGAAAATAGGATAAAATATAAGTCCAGCTCCTTCATGCTGGAAACCAGATGTGTGGGAACGTTTTGGGTTTAAAAAAAATAGGGAACGTGGCAACTTAGACCAAAGATGAACAGTTTGCAAGGTGTACGGTGCAAGGTGTTCACAAATGTAAAATACGCGGAATTCAGACCCTTTCCCCCTGGAAATTTGCACTTGTTTTGAAACCGTTTTAGTCAATCGATTTCACAGTGACATTTGTTTACTGTTTTATTTGTTTTATTTCTGTCTTTTAATGTTGTTTTATGTCTGTAGTTGTCTGTGCACACTGGAGACTTTTTGCTAATGTATTCCAATGTGTTTTTTTACTGCAAATGGCAATAAATAAACTGAACTGAAACTGAACTGAACTGAACTGAAATATCCGTGGGGCACTTTCTGTTGTTTGCTGTACGAATGGGATTCCACATCCTCCTGCAGCTTCCGAAAACAACTGCGGACGCTTTGTAATGACAGCGGATCTCGTATCCAGCGTCTGTGAGCCACTTTGACGTGAACATGGCGAACGTGCAGCCATAACGTGCTCATAATGTTCCCTGTGCATACAATTGACTTGCAGACAGGACAAGTACGTGTCTTTGCGTAACCTGTGCATGTAATACAAGGTTAAAAGGTTTCAAAGGTTTGTAAGCAACAGTTTGCACACATCTTTGATTAAGTTTGTTATTTGTAAGCTCTGTCCAGTTGATAGATTTTGTAATTGACGTTTTAATTTTTAGTTCACTTATTAAATCATTTAAATCTTTCACCAAACTAAGTATTGAATTACAACAAATCCCAATGCTGGCTGAATATGGTTATATATATCGTGTCTCAAGCTGAATAATGTGTATCGTATCATATCACTGGCTGAATACTGTGATATTTGTTACACGGGCATCGGGTTGTTTTATTTAAAATAAATTGTAACCCTATTTCATTGATTCAATTTACATATTTTTAGGAAAGAACCACCCTGTCCACTGCACATGCTCAACACCTGCTGCTGAGAGAGGACGCCTTCTAAAACGTGTGCGAGAGACGCTCTGTTTACAAGTCACTGTCCGTAACGCGCGCACAAGCTCACTTTCCAAGAAGATTTACACTTTTCCTTACGTCACAAAGTATCAGAATGATTGACGATTAGGAGGACCAAGAGTCGTGATGATCCCCGGGAAAAGAAGATCCTCCTCTATACCTTTGATTTCATTCTGTAGTCATCTGAGTCATGAAATCCTTCAGCATGTATGAGTCTATGTAAGGTTGTGACTATTTCAACTAATTGATTTCATTATGCAATTAGTTGATTGATCGATTGATTCATTGGTGTGTGCTTTTTCATCATCGTATTTTTGTGTTTCAACGGTTTGATTTGACGGCTTATAAAGTCCTCCGAGATTACTACTGTTGTGATTTAGGACTAAATTAAATTATTGAATTAGTTATAATCAATTAGCTGTGAATTTCAAACCACATAGAAAGTAGCGATTTAATACAATTCATCTAACTAGTTCTTGTCTCTAGAACAGTTTTTTGTCTCATACTTTTTCTGCAGAAAAGTGAAAACGAGTACCACCCTCTCTTAGCCAATCAGCTCAAAGCATCAAATAGTGACAGGGCTCTTTCTTGCAGGTATTCCATAACAGGTTTCAGATGAAGACACCATGCTGTGGTTTGATTTGTTCAGAACATTTTGCTTTTGCAGAACAAATATGAAAAACTAAGAAGTTTGACAACCAAGCTTTGACGACGTAAAAACATTTAAAAAAAGAACATTTTTCCATTTTACGTTTGAGCGAGGTACACCGAGGGTTCTCACAAAGCATTTTCTATTTCCCCGCGCCTCTTTTTTTTCTCTCCAGGATCAATGCCTATCTGTGAGCCATACGGGCAAGTTTGTGCTTAAATCCACATAACAGATGTAGGTGCTGTGGAGTGTGAGGTATCGGCCCGTGACATTGTAGGAGGAGAGCGTTTGCTGAAGATGAGTGAATTCACCACAGCCCCTGATAATCCCAGTGCTTTTCAAGAGAGCTTTTCAGAGCCAGCCAGCCCAAGGAACTGAGCTGAAAGGATACAGACAGCTGGAGGGGAAAAGAAGAGCGGCGCAACACATAAGGATTCAATCTAAGAAACCGCTGCAGTTTATGTCCCGAATCAATTTGCGCTGACAGGTCTGCAGACAGGTTTATTGTACAACGGTTTGGGGCACAGGCGATTTATAAGAGCATTTTAACACTATCTGGCTTTCTGATGAGATCACTTCATCTACACTCACTGGACGCTCCATAATATATAGATTCTGTTATTTAAGCCAACAGTTCAGTATTGATGTCTAGCTTTGGTTAAGGCCCTGATTTGTTCTAAGGAACAAATAGAGTGGCAAAAAAAAATTATTTGGCAGTTACAGATTGTACAAGCTGTGCCACTTAAAAGACTGAGTGGGAACCTTCTTTCTCCTTCATAAGAAAAAATAAACAGTAAATCACAGTGTATGACAACTATCCAGTCATATATGGTGCGGAAAATCAATTCACGTTTCCTTAAAATGAACAGATTCTTTATTTGTTCCACAGTGGGGAATTTTCAGTGTTGCATCACCGGTTACAGGAGCACACAACACAAGATAAATGAACAATAACCCAATACTAAAATACTATCTCTTACCTAAGAAAAATAAGGAAGCTATTCTAAAGAAAAATCCAACTTTGGCACAATGACGAAAAAATAATTGAGAATAAAATGGTATATATTCTACAAGAAATATATAGTTGTATGTGTTTATCTGTACAGTGTAGGTAAGTGTATGTATTTGTGTAGGTCTTCTAGGTTTCCACACATGAAGCTATTATTTCGGCCCATTTTTCTATGCAGATCTTCCCAATTTGATTGAGGCCTGGAGACTGACTTGGCTACTCTAGGAGCTTCCAGGACTACCTTGTTCCTTAGGCGATGTGTTTTGGAAAACCGAGCCACATTTATTTCAATGATGGAAGATTTTTGCCCAAAATCTCAGGATACATGGCTCCAATTCATCCTCTCCTTATTATACAAATAAATGGTTTAACATTTTGATTCATTGTAATGTTTTTCACATCCACAGTTCAAGTGTTCCTACTGTATGATGAAAATTAAGGACCCCCTCTCACTTGCACAATCAACAACTGCTAACGGAATTTCACGTTCAACCAACCAGATATCCAGCAACATGGATGCACTACAAGGCCCTGGGACAAATGTAAAAAATTGCAAGATGCTTAGAGTGTACTAAGCCTTATGCTACCACGCTCCAGAAATGCAGCCATCAATCAAATCAAAATCAATAAAAAATGCTTTATTGTCCAAAAGGGGAATTTATCTTGGGCATATCCCTGACACTGCAGATGGGAATATATACAGTATTGCTATGCCGCGCACGGTACATCCTTTTTAAATGAGAGACACAAAGTCTTATTAAGAACTGAGACCCTTGCCTTGAAATTTCAGATATAATTCTATTTTAATGTATTTCATAGACACAAAACCTACACAACATTCTACAAATACCAGGATATATTTATTGAGACACATTTGAGATGAGAAAACATAGACTGAGACCATTTTAAAACAAGATGCCAATGAGAGAAAGTGGTTTAGTCTTATTTTAAGTGCAGTTGTAATCTATTTCTCATCCAAAGGGAAAATTCCTCTTTTCTGTAAAAAAACAAAACAAAAAAAAGGTTTATTTTCCCTTTAGCGAATCTTGTTTTCACAACTAAAAAGTACTCCGATTAAAATACGATTTGCCAACGTACTTTTTGACTTGTTACTTTTTGACTTGAGTACTTTTTGCAGTCCATCGCATCTTTGGATTGGTTGGAGAGATTCATGTTTGAGTATTTTATATTTTTCTGAAACATAAAGAAATATTATTCATTTGGTGTCCATTTAAAATGATAATAAGATGATTTACTTTTTATACGGTGAAAGGTAAAAAAAATCCTTGGAGCCTGGAACTCCCTATGCTACCACCAGGAGGAGTGACATTTTCTGATTGTAAAGAATGTAATTTCACCTGAGAAGTAGTCATATATATATATATATATATATATATATATGCATTACTTTTGCATAAAAAGGCAGAAAACTGCTCTGAGCATGATGTCATACAGTACATACTACAGGACTGAGACAGGAGCTTTTCAACAGAAGGGGCGGAGTTTCAGGTTTGGTATTGATTAGGCAACACTGTTGTAACGTGATTTACATAGTATGTAGTCTTTAAATACCACCAAACCTCCTTATTGCTGGGTTGCAACCACGTGACCAAAAGGGGGTGTAGGTAGGGGCCGTAGGACAGGAAGTGATTTTGTCCTCGTAGAGTGGGCGATGTAGGACAGCGTACACAGAGGAGCTATTTGCGGCTTAGTATCACTTTTGAGTGAAAACATACAGCTTATGCCTGATATCGTTTGAATGAGTCAGTTTTTTCAACAATGAGGAGGATTAAGCAACTGTTATAGTGACAACAGTGGAGTCCGTCACTCTGGGATCAACAGAAGCCAGGTCCAGGATGACAGTTATGATCAATAACATAATAAATAGGGCTTGAAAGTTACTTTGTAACAACGTTTGAGGCAAGAATGTATTGTCATTTGGGTGATTTTTTGAGCTGTAAACAAATTATAAGTTTGGACTTAAGCTTCAGGGGGAAGCGCTGCAGCGTTAAGCTAAAAGTGGGGGGCTGCAGCCGTCCTGGGGCACAGAGCTCGGATATGACTTCAGATATTACCCTGATCCCAGTCGAGAAAATAATGATGAAAGATCACTCTTGGCTGGATTCCTTTGTGAGAAGACTTAGATTGTACAGCTTGTTTTTATATACTTATATGAACACCTAGGTTTAAAAAATGTATTATTAGTTCTCCCTGTTGCCTTGGTTACT